CCTACATTTGACAATAAAATAATTTTGGAAACTGCCGGATCTTACCCATGAAAAAAATAGAAATGAAGGATCACCGTTACCGTTTTACATACGACCCGTTTAACTGCGGGCTCTGAGGCGAACATATGTATAGCTGTGCTAGTATAGACTATTCATTTTCTACTTATTTATCATATAATTTGGTTATTTAAACACTGTGTTTTTAGATTATAGAAATAATTTCGTTTACCCAAATAATTGCGCTAACTAAAATCTACCAATTAAAGATGATAATTGAACGAAATAATTGTAAAAACAAAATTGGCTAAAAAATTATACTACTAGAAGAAATTTTAGGTTTCTGGAAAATTTAAAAAAATGTTTGACCTGGAGAACTTGCTTTTAATTTAATTCGCATAATTCAGGGTTAACTTATTTTGCTCTTTCTGTTTTTAGCTGGTTTTTAAAAATTTGTCCTTTTCTGCAGCTCATCTTTTTTAAATTATCTCTTGGCTCTATTTGGCTTGGAACTTCGAGCGTCTTTTAATGAAAATAAGAGTTAACCTTCTAAATGTATATATATGTTCTTGTCATCCGGCCGGATTGGCAAATTATTACATATATATATTTATATATATATGTAATAATTTGCCAATCCGGCCGGATGACAAGAACATAGCAAAAAAAAGAAAACGAATCAGTTTGGATCATCATCGTCAGCTCCAACAATCAAACAGAAACCATATATCTAGATCGTTTGCCAGTGCTGTGTCAAGTCTCCTACAGTTTACTAAAACTTGGGAGATTGCTGAGTGGATCCCAATAATTTATTTGACCTTGTTGAAAATTGCTTTTTATGTAGCTTGCATAACTCAGATATAACGAAGTTTGCTCTGATGATTTTCAAATGATTTCTTACAGCCTTATTTTCTGCAGTTCAGTTTTCCTTTAAATTATCTCTGACTTATTTTTGGTTCCCATGTTGGAAATTTTTCTACTGATTTTCAGAGTTTACTTCGTGCAAATTTTATAGTCCTAATTCAGTTGAAACTGAAGCTATACCGAGGCAGTTTCGTTATTTTTTGTAAAACCTAAATTACCAGAAGACTGCTCCTATCAGGGCGAAGCCCTGAATGTTCCGACTGCCTATTTAGGTTTATGGAGTAGTAATAACATTAAAAAATAAAAAAAAAAAAAAAATTTTTTTTTCTTCTTAAATTTGATATTTTTAACAAAAATCATACCCCCACACGCCATTTAAAGTACAAAAGGATAGATTTTGCTACTTGTAACAAATCATTTCTGGCAAATAAGTTTCGTTAAACCAATTTGGAACGATTTCTAAGACGGATTAAATCTCCGCTTACGCGTTAATAGCGCGATTTATATCGCGCGTTAATTGTCCCCAATTGGTCAAAATGGCCAAAATGGCAATCTTTAAACCCTCATAACTTTACGAAAAAAGGTCACAGGTGAAATTTTTTTTCAAATTTGAGCTCAGAACAACAATGCTTTTCGAATGATATTAAAAAAATTCCGTCAAAAATGGCTAGTTAAAAAGTCGAAATTTGTCTGAAGAAAAAAGAAACCCACCCCGAGCACAAATATTCCGTTACTTTTGTATCGAAAGTCGGAACAACAAGACTGCTCGTATCAGGGCAAAGCCCTGAAGGTTCCGACTGCCTTTTAAGGTTTATGGAGCAGCAGTAATAACATAAAAAATTAAATGAAATAAAGTAAATTGAAAATTTTTTTCTCCAAAATTTGAAACTTTTTTATGAAAATCATCCCCCACACGCCATTTAAAGTACAAAAAGGTAGATTTCGTTCCTTGTAACAAATCAATTATGGCAAATAAGCTTCGTTCAACCAATTTCGAACGATTTATAAGACGGATTAACTCCGCTTACGAGTTAATAGCGCGAAATATATCGCGCGTTAATTGTCCCAAATTGGTCAAAATGTCCAAAATGGCAATCTTTAAACCCTCATAACTTTACGAAAAAAGATCACAGGTGAAATTTTTTTTCAAATTTGAGCTCAGAACAACAATACCTTTCGAATGATATTAAAAAATTCCGTCAAAAATGGCTAGTTAAAAAGTCGAAATTTGTCTGAAGAAAAAAAAAACCCACCCCGAGCACAAATATTCTGTTACTTTCGTATCGAAAGCCGGAACAAAAACTTTAGTTCACTTCACAGGAGCTATGTAATATTTCTTAATAATTTAACTTCGTTCAAGTTTTTGTTATAAAAATTTTTTTTTCTATGGAGACATTATCTGTTATCCGATTCTTCGAGGATTCAGCATTCTCAACGAAATCAAATTGCCGTGCAAGAAATTTAGCAGGGAGGAGAAATTGCTCTGCTAGCAAAAAATTCCCCATTCAATGTAGAAAGTAAATTGAGATTTTTTGCATGCTTTCGCTTGCCCACTAACAAGATTGTTAAATTTTTCTATTATATATTTTCACCCTGTGAATAAAATTTTTCTTAAAGTTCAATGTTTGTAGTAGGGCTGTAATTCTTGTTAGCACCATCTTGTTTCAAGTTTGTTTCCATTCAAGTCTTTTTTGTTCAATTTGTGTACATGAAAACTTGTCAGTTGATAATTTATGTGTTTATAAAGTCTATAGCACTGTTGAAAAAAATTTCCGGTTAAAAGTTTAATAAATGTCTCTATTTAATTGCATCAGAAAACTTCAGTTAAATAAATTTATAAGGGGATTTCCTTCAAAAAAATTCCTTTGAAGGATTTAAAACCAATAAAGATGCACGTAACTAATTTTGGCCATCGTTTCGAAATGAATTGCAAAGACTGCAATGAGCTGACTTCTATTTTTGTCTGTTTTTCGCTCTTTCACTCTACAACTACAAGACTTAACTGAAAAAAATTTAGACAACTTCCTGGACACGATGAATATCTATCACAAAGAAAAAATCAAACATTTTAGATACGAATTGTTTATTTCAAAGTAGTTGAGTAAGAAAAAAAGCAACGCACAAAAACACACGAAACTTTTATATCAGTATAGAAGAAATACTCTTTCTAATCAAGGTAAAAGCTTAAATAACGGCTTGATAAGTCTTACTTCGAAAAACAAGTTCAAATCTTTTCCATCCTATTACTTCAGATCTTTTTTAAAAGGAAGTCGAGTGAAAAATTGTCAAAAAGAAAAAATTAGAAAGGACCAAGTTGACATCTTCCCCTTAAATTGTTTTAAATGCAGGGATTTATCTCTCTTTTTTTGCTTGAACTTGGTTTTTGCTTTGATTTGAGTTCAAAATCCTTGTTTTTTTTCTAAATTTACAAAAAAGTTAGTGTTTTTTTTTAAATAACAAGCATACGGATTGATTTGTATTCAAGTAGCATGAATGCTTACATCAGTGCTGGGTGTTCAATTAATTACCTTCAAACTATGGTTTTGTTGCCAAAATTGCTCTGAACAAAAGCAGCACCTTAAGCATTAATCTTCTTCGAAATTCAGATATAAACACTTGACTTTATCATAAAACCCAATACCTCAACTCAAAATGAAAAATTTCAGATGAGGAAAAAATTAACACGTTTTACTCATACAATTCAATTGAGAAGCATCACCCTAAAAATACCTTAAAATACTTTTAAAATTAAGGTAAATTTGCACTACTTTAAGTACACCTTAACATACCTATATTTACCTTAAAAGCAGGGGCGGATCTAGGATTTTCTCGAGGGGGGGGGGCGCGGATTTTCAAAAAAATTTTCAAAATAATTTTGACGACCTTTTTTTTAGGTCGAGCAAATTGATTTTTCGAGCTCTCCCAAAGCACTGTTTTGCCCCCATTTTGGCAAATTTTTGATTTTTGAAAAAACAGTCAAAAAGCCGTTTTTGGGCACTTTTTGAAAAATTTTGGCAAAAAAATCGCGTTTTTTTGGCGCGCGCTCCCCCTCAAAGTTAGTATATATTGGCGCCAAAGGCGCCTTTAGAAAAATTTTAGGGTCTGTCGGCCAAAAATGGATTTCTGGAAAAGTATCAAAGGGGGTCGGCAGGGGGTCGAATCCCTGAGGGAAAGGGGCGTCCCCCCCCCCCCCCCCGCCCCCCCTAAATCCGCCCCTGCTTAAAAGTTAATGTTTATCAAGCTTAAAAAATGCTTAAAAACTATTTTATTGGTAAAAATACTATAAAAAATTACCATAAAAAAGTACATACTTCACCAATATTTACTTAAGCTTTTCTTATTTTTAGGAAACTACCTTAACTTTTTTCTAACTTAACGCTGTTAAGTTGATTTTACCTTAACTTCTTTTGTGTGTAGTCTTTGTTAATATAAAGATTTTAATGTGTTTATTGGGCCATTGGTTATTTATTGAACTTCAACTTCGTTGGCAACCATTCTGATATTGACCTGTAGCACTACCACCTCATTTTGGTGGTACTATTTGGCGCTAAACTTTCAAAAACCCCCATTTTCCACGATAGTGGTGAAATAGCCGATCTTTTTCTCAAAACTGCGCCAGTAGATTCAATTTCTCAGAAAAAAAGGTATTTATGTTGATGCAATGGAAATCCGAGGAATTTATGATAAAAAAGCATTTGTTAGTTAGGTATCCCTTGTCATCATGGCTAGAAAATATTAGAAAATGAGCCAAAAAGGTATAATATGATGAACGACTTTAAAACACGGATTTATATAACGAACGCTGAACACGGATTAATTTGGACAGCCATTCAATTTGCAATCCGCCATTGAATACAACCGGTGCGTTGCCTGAATTTTAGACACCTTAATAAATCTAAGTTCCCTTTTTCCGATTCAAGCGATCAACAACAATAAAACTTATATATTTCCTTTTTAAATAAAAAGTAATCAAAACAACAACCCAAAAAATGAACTAAATTACCTGTTGATTGTTTCAACGACTTAAAAATATCTTCAAAATACGCTTTCATTTACAACTTCTTTGTTTGCAATGTTCATCGCGCTAAGACATTTTCAATACAGACCAATCTGTCTTAAGATGGTTTAATTTGGTCTTCTTATTTTTCGGCTAAACTATCCTCGTCTGCTTGCAACCCCGTCTTAAGTAAAGAGACGATGGCATAAAGTAAGATAGAGACTTTAGAGTGGTTATTGTTCGACAACGCACCTGCTGATTTGGTGTTGAACAATTGATTCTGTGGTCTGCTGTAGTTTCTTCTCCACCTCACTTTGGCAGATTTGTAGATCTTCACGTAGATGATGAGCAGAACCACGAAGGGCAGGTAGAATGCGCCGATTGTGGAGTAAAGTGTGAATAAGAGATTCTGGCTGATTTTACAGGTGCCTATGCGACAGGGTCACAGTTCAAACAGAAATCAATGACGCAAAAAAATTTGTTCAGCTGGATAACAGTAGAGTTCAAATTCAAAAATATTGCTTAATGCAAAAACTTAACCTGTTGCTGAGCAGAATTGTACGACCACAATAATTTTTGCAAGAAAAAATTAGAAAAACTAGAAAAATATGAATAAAGTTTGTGCCAAGAGTGAATCTAGGATTTTCGAGTGGGCAGGGGCGGGTTTTCAAAAGAATTTTAAAACTTTTGTGAAATTTTTTTAGGTCGACCAAATTCATTGTTCGAGCTCTACCAAAGCACTAAAAAACCCTGTTTTGGCCAATATTTTTGCTCCAAAGGCCAATTTTTGAAGAAAAAAAGAACAGGACATTCCTAAAAAAAAAGTACCAAAGTGGGACAGTTTGGGTAACAGGGGGTCGGATCCTTAATGGGGGTTCCACAAGACGCCCCCTACCATGAATCGACCCCTGGTTTGTGCACGCCGGTAATTGATCTAAGAGCTACTATTTACAAGAGACTGCTAACGAGTGTGGAATCTTCAGATTAAAATGACTCAGCAATTATAGTGACTCTTCAATAAAATTTTGTCCAAAAGCACCAGATTCGAAAAACATTTTTCTCAAATATTGTTTTGTTGAGTATCGAAATGGAGTTTTTCTAAGATATATCATTTCATTTGACCCTTTTTATTTTTATTGCCTGATTTTGCAAGAAAGAAAATAGGCTCACAAAAATACACATGAATTCAAGTTAAAAACCACCTGAAAAGTGCAACTTAATTAATGTATTATTTTAGACAACTTGAAAATTTTAATCACATATGTATAAATTCATCAATTTCTAGGTAGAGTTTACAATTTCGAATGATTTTGATTTTATACGCCTGACTCATTTTGTTGGCAGTTCATTTGTTGTTCATATCTTTTTTTCTGCCTTTTTGCCCTATGGCGGGACTGTGAATTCTATCTAGTACAATTTCGATCTTGTCAATGAGTTTGACTCATTTTATTTCTTGGCAAAGTTTGAGATGGTCAGAGTGTAGCGTTTCTTTCTTTCAGATAAGGCAGATGCACTCAAAACCTGAGCTTGCTTATGAGTAGCACCTTTAATGTGACAATTTAGTGGCATCCTTTGCTATAGAAACTGGCATTTTGCGATCTGCTTTTATTAACTCTAGCAATATTGAGGCGTTTTTCTCCGATCATTCGGTTGATGAGCAGTGGTGTGAGTAGCTGGCGCGAAATGCCCATCCATTTTTAAAAGAAAATAATGTTTATTCGATTTCTATGGTCCTCCCATTTGGCATCCTTTAAGTCATTAGAAAGGTCGTGCCCGTAAGAAGCTGATTTCACAATAAAGCTATTATATAGATTTGTCACTTCATTTATGCATATTGTTAAGAATGAGAAAACATTAGTCGTTCAATCGTAAACTCCAATACAAAGTTAGTCAACTTAATCTTACAAAGTTAGCATAGAGAGTGGTTGTAAACAGTATACAAGGGTGACAGACTGTTCCAAGGACAAACACCTGCTAATCGATTACTTTAGCATCAAGAGTGAACAGTTGATTGACAGCTTGCAAAGTGAACTAAATAACACTATACAACACTTCCCCTTCAATAATGAAACTTTAGTTGATTGAAAAAATGACGGCACCTGTTGATTATAAAGGACTGAATAGAAATTACTAACTGCATGTTTGGACGAACAATTTAGACTTTTATAATAACAAATTTTAACAACTAAAAGGATCACTGAGCAGTGATGACTTTTGAGTTTTAAGTCACTAATGACCCACCATCTCCCTGGGTTAGAAAGTTTTAATGTGGTAAAGTTTTACTAGTTTCTTTTAGGTCACTTATTCACTTTTTCCCCTCTTTTTCGTTTTGGTTGATGAAATCAATCATCACACCCCCATCTTAGTGACCGCAGTTCTCTTCCGTCCGCTTTTCCGAGACGTCGTGGATGTGGTTTCGTCCTGGCTGTCGCCCTGACTGCTGTATGATACCAGCCTGGCCTTCTTTGTTGTTGGTCCCTTCTTTTTACTAGGTCCTGGCAATGACGTTGCATGTGTCTGGACCCCTGGATCGGACGTTGTTTGATCCCTTGGGTTTTTGTCCAAATCACCGCCTAGTGCCGGAATGGTGTCCTGGTCGCTTCCAATATCCACGTCTGTTGCTGTTGTTGATGTTTGTCCTATTTGTGCTCTTGGTGTTTCAGTTGATGGTTGTTTCGCCCGTTTTACCGAAATAATTGGCAAGTCGTCACCGACTCAGAACCACTGTTTTTCCTGTTTCCAGTTCGCTGGAACAACAATCCAGATGGTCCTGGTTGTCCGCTGGAGTTTGCGGGTTTTAGGATCGACGGTTCGTCGTGTTGGTTGGCCGATTGGTCATCGGTTAATCGGCGTACATGGCTCCTATGATTGATGTCATATGCTAAGTCCGATCGTACACTTCAGTTTGTATCAGCTGGATGGGGCATATTCTGCGCATTAGGATCGGCGGCATCTAAACAAGCGTTTTTCGTTTTTATGACCAATCCAGACTTTGAAGTGATGGTTTCTTTGTCAGGTTCCGTAAGACCGTGTTCGTTTCTCTGCGATGATGCGCCTCGAATGGCGAAATTTTTAGTGTTGCATTCTTCGAAAATCTAAGAGGGCCCTTTCAACCATTTTCTCCAAGGGTTCGGGATGTTTTTCTTGAGCGAAAGTCAGGATAGAACTTTTAAGACTGCCAATGGTACGCTCGACGCACCCAGTTGCCCGATGATCATTGAATGGCGACTTTATGATTTCAATGCCCTACCCATTACAGAAAGCTTTAATCTCGTTTGACATAAAACTCGTTCCCTGATCTACATGAATTTTCCGTGGCACCCCATGATTTGTTATATAACTTTTTAAGAACTTCAGTATCTTATCAGACCGATGATTTCCACAGACGATGGCCGATGGCCCACGAGAAAAACGATCGACCGCCACTAATACATATTTCCGGGATTCATTTAAATAATTGATGGGATCCCAAAAATTGAGTTGGACTGACTCATTTGGTTCCTTCGGTTCAGGTACAGTCCCAAGTTGATTTTTTCTTATAATCGTTCTTAATTTCTTACCAGCGGCGGTACATTTGGGACACTCTTCGGCCATGGAAGCTATTGAGCGAAAATATAAGGGTACCAAACGTCTTTTGCTGCATCAAACATGATCGTTTTTCTGTGATGATAGGCATGAATTCTATTGTTAATTGCAGTTTGAAGGTTAATGGGTAATACTAGTTTTTCATCCATCCACACTACGTTCTCCTTCACCGAAAAGTCGTTAACAAATTGAGAATAATAACGGTTCATTGCACTGATTTTTTCATGAATGTCCGGATCTTGGGAAACAATGAGATCGCGGATTACGCTCAGTTGGGGGTCAGAAACATAATTGGATTCAATGAACTTTAAATTAAACAAGTCAGGTAAGGAAGTAATTCTGTTAACAATTTTGCAGTTCCGAGGGATAATTGACATACATATTGAATTCGGATCCACGGGTGGTATTGTTTCACCTTTGAATGCCGAGGGTAACGAAAGAGTTGTGTTTGTTCAGATTGACTTTGTTTCTTTAGTAACGGCTTCCAGGGATACATTCTGCGGTAATTCTTCAATCTCATCTCTACTGCTATTTAGACTAGGGTGCTGTTTCAGAAATTTTTGCTTTTTTCGCATACTTCTATCCGTTCCGATTTGAGAATTTGAAATTTGAATTTTAAAATTTGATGATTGTAAGCAACTTTCTTCCGATTGAGTAATAGCACCAACTAATCCAGTGCGTATTTCGCGTAGCCCTCGGCTCAAACCACGTGTTCGAATCTGATTGGTTGAATTCCGCTTGCATGTTTTTCCGCCCTCTACCGATTCATCGCGTGACGAAACTTCCAATCTATTTATAGATTGCTGACTTGGATTTATAATTGGATGATTTGTATCCCCTGGATGTAATACTAACATTAAAACCGAGAGCATTGCGAATTAGGTTGATCTTTGCCACAGTGAACATGTTATTATACGTACTAATTGGCGTTGCTTCTCTACTTGGGTGACGTGATAAGTAGTCCGCCAATCCGATTTTCGCCCCTGGCTTATGTTCAATTCGAAAATCAAAGGGAATCAGCCGATGTAACCAGCGCATTAAACGGCTAAACATCGTCTTATTTTTCTTATTATTACCATTCAAAAGGGATATTAACGCTTTGTCGTCGGCGACAATTAAAGAATTCCGGCCCAGTAAGTAATTTCAAAAATATTCAGCCCCCCACACAACTGCCAACATCTCCAATACTTTTGTTGAATATTTTCTTTCCGCTTCAGTCAAGTATCGCGAGGCAAACGAAATTGGGCGCCACCCTTCTGGTCCTAACTGTTCCAACACCGCACCGAGCCAGTTATGGCTTGCATCGCACACTATACGAATGTCCTTGTGGATATCAAAATGTCGTAGTTCAACAATATTCGACACTTGTTTCTTAAGATTTTCGAACGCGTTCTGACATTCGTGGGGTCAAAATGTATTCATTACTCTTACTTAGTAAGGGTCGCAACGGCGCGGATGATTCAGCTAACGCCGGTAGATACTTGTGCAGGCTGTGTATTGACCCCATGATCGAGTTTAGCTGCGACAGATTTCGCGGCGGCGTTAGGGCCTCAATCGGTTCTGTTTTTCTAACCAATGGAGTTATTCCAGTCGATGTTATTTTATGGCCCAGCCATTTGCATTCCCGTTGGTCGAACTTGCATTTCGTTAGTTTTAGAGACATATTTTCCCGATCTAGTTTCTTTAAAATTTTCTCTACTGTTGCTATATGGTCAATCGAGGTTCCCTTGGTCACGACCAAAATATCGTCGATGAACGCGTGCGCCTGCGGATTTTCTGCGAGTATACAATCCATTGCGCGTTGGAATTCCGCGGGCATTGTAGTTAGACCGTAGAATCCGGTT